CCTCAAGCATCATACTTTCTTTCAAGAAACACACACTGCAGGGAATCTGAGACTTTTTTTGTTTATGTTTTTATAATAAGCTTTTGTAGTTAACTTACAGTCTTTACAGTTTAAATACTTTTCATCATTCAGGAGTCATTTTTACCATAAATAATATTACCTAGTAATACAACAGACAACCTGCATTTATTTTAATCTAGTTGATTAAGTGCTAGAAGACGGTGTCAAAGAATTTAAGCTTGCTAACCTTTCTCCTCAGAAGGCTTCCTGGAAAAGGGAAGATTTAAATGAAAACAAAACAGAACAAAACAAAACCTAGCAGCAACAACAGAAAGCCTACGTGCTTATTTGAGAACGTGTTAATAAGCGTGGTTCTTTTTCACAGAAACTATCTGTAGTTGAACATACACAAAATTTTGCATACAATTTCATGGGATTTGTAGTTTTCCCCCAAATTCTCTTTTGAAGATAGAAGGGAGTGTATTTTGGTTCCTGGGTAACATGTGAATGAAGATATAATCTCAGCAAGGTGATTGCTGGAAACAGTGAGCTAATCAGAGCAAGGTTGAGTGGTAGAGTATGAGGAAGTAAAATTGTTTAGGTTGAGCAGATGGTTTTTAAATTTTTTTTTGAGACAGAGTCTTGCTCTGTTGCTCAGGCTGGAGTGCAGTGGCATGACCTTGGCGCTCTGCAACCTCTGCCTCCCGGGTTCAAGCGATTCTCGTGCCTCAGTTTCCTGAGTAGCTGGGATTGCAGCTACTCAGCTACAAAAACTACCACACCTGGCTAATTTTTGTATTTTTAGTAGAGATGAGGTTTTCCCATGTTGGCCAGGCTGGTCTGGAACTCCTGACCTCAGGTGATCCACCCGCCTCAGCCTCCCAAAGTATTAGGGTTTCAAGTATGAGTCACTGTGCTCGGCCTGGGCGGATTCTTAAATGTGAAAATTTTAGACCCTCTTGCGCCTTCTCCAACATTTACTTCCCCTTACATTCATTTTAAAGTTCTTGTCTTTCTTGACTTTCCTGAAATCAGTCTCTCTCTCTTTTCTCTTTTTCCACCTCCCTTTGAAACTTAGATATCCCTCAGTTTTTTTAGTCCTCTTCTGTTTTTGATTTTCACTTTTACATTAAGAGCACTTCAGTTATTCCTATCTACTGATGATTCCTAAGTCTCTTTTTGCCTTGTGTGGAGCTCGAGACCTTTATTTATTGTTGCCTGTGTACATGTCCACCAGCCTGTTCCACAAATACTAAGTTCAGAAATTCTCAAGTTGTACTTACTCTCTCACTGTGGTCTTCCTTCTGTGTTTCCTATTTCATCTGTTGGCATCCCTGTCCAAAGTCCTTTCTTTCTATATTGCATTGTTATGTTAAGCCCCTCTGTGCATAATTGTATTTATTCTACAGAGTTGTCTTATAGGTCCTATGGTCCTACTTTTAGAGATAAAGCAATTTATGTAATTTAAATGTTTATCTCTAAATTACACTATTAGTATGGGACAGTGCTGGGATATAAACTCATATGTATAGATTCCATATTTTTTACTGCAATTATTATAATGCCTGCCACTTCTGTCACTTTAATCTAAAAAATATTAAGGGTTTACCTATAGGTGTAATTAAAGAAATATTTATTGCAGTGTTTTTCTAAAAAAAAAATTCCAACAGTAGGAATTTCTGTTCAGTCTGTTAAAGAATATTCATAAGGAATACCAGGTGGCCATTTATACATCATATTTTTTACCAGTAGTTTTTATTTTATGTAGACAAATCATGTATGGAAACCCAAAGTGTGAAATAGATTAACAAAAAACAGTGCTTGAAAGAAGGGAAGCTCCGCAGTATTTCATGGACAGCTATCTGCAATGGTTTTTGAGGAAAATTAGGAAAATATTCGTAATACCTTAAGTGAAAAAAATACAATTAGTAAAACAATATGCACAGTGTGCCCCCAATTTTGCTAAAAATGTATTTGAATATGCAGTTCGCCCTCTGTATCCATGGGTTCTACATCTATGGATTCAATCAACTGTAGAGTGAAAATATTTGGGGAAAAAAGCATCTGTACTGAACATGGACAGACTGTTTTTCTTGTCATTATTCTTGAAACAATACAGCATAACCATTATTTACATAGCATTTATATTGTATTAGATACAAGCAATCAAGATATGTTTTAAAGTATTTGGGCGGACATGTGTAGGTTATATGCAAATATTACATCATTTTATATAAGGAACTTGAGCATCCTCAGATTCTGGTATCTGCAGGGAGTCCTGGAACCAATCCCCTGTGGATACCAGGGGACAACTCTATACATCGCTAAAAGACTGGAAAGTTATACATCAAAGTATGAACACTGGTTATTCCTTAACTTGAGGATTATTTATAATTTTTATTTTCTCCACATTTTCCACAATGAGCAAGAATTAGTTTTGTAAATAGAGACTATAAAGCAAAACTCCCAAACATTATTAAATAAGGCAATAAATGCAAAAAACCCTCAAAACCTACTACATATCATTGAATACACACCATATACACACATACACCGTCATATACAAAGTAAAAGAAAACTGGTGACTGTTGCTCCGTGAGCATTGGCTTTTGAAGCTCTTGAATACCTTTGTAGGCAAGAAACTGTACTCTACTCTTGGAACGCCTTGGATGAATATTAATGCTGTTTTCAGTAGGGGTTTAGAATTTGGACTTTGGAAACTGACTGTTAGGTTTGAATCCTGGCTCTGCTGTTATTTATTGTTTTATCTTGGGCAAGCTGCTTAACAGTTCCTAAGTTTTCCCCATTTGTGAAATGATACCTACTTTATAGGGAGGTTAGGATTAAGTAAGTTAACTTAATAACATGCTTACAGCAATGCCTGGCACTTAATAAGGGATCAGTATTAGTTGTTTTGGTTATTATTCCTGTCTTTTATTTTCCCTCCAAACTCTGTCTTCCTTTCCCTCCCCCAAAGTTAGCTGGAGATTTAGATGGAAAGTCATAGTTTTTATTCAGATTCAGTTTCCCAAAGAGGTCACTGGTCAATAAGGTACATACTTCTTCTCCTACTAAAATTTAGTAGCAACTATACCTTATTTTGTAAATATTTGTGTGCTTTTATGGTATGATTTCTAACCAGAAATTGTCCACATTCAGTGATTCACTAGGAGGATTTACAAGACTCAGCACATGGTTGTACTTACAGCTGTAATTTATTACAGCAGAAGGATACAAAACAAAATCAGTGAGAAGAAAAGGCACATGGGGTAAAGTCCAGAGTAAATCAGTGTAAGCTTCTAAGGGTCCTTTCCCAGGGGAGTTACACGGGATGCGTCTAACTCCTCCAGCAAGTTGTGACAACACATGTAAAACGTTTACCAAGGAAGCTCATTAGAGACTCAGTGCCCAGGGTTTATATTAGGGATTGTTCATATAGACACTCTCTGCCTAGTATGTACCAAATTTCTAGACCCTAGAAGGAAAACAGGTATTTAGCACAAATCACATTTGTTTGTAAAGTGTAGGCACACTGAGCTGTTCCTACTAGGAAATGGTGGGAACTGTCCTGAAATCTAAATTTCCAGATGCCAGCAAGGGGCCAACCTTGCAAGCAGACCTTTCTAGGGATAGCAATCTCAGGCCTGCTATGTTAACTCTTTTCTGTACCATGGTATGTTATGAAATGTATTTTACTTAAGAAACGAATGTCAACAAATCTAGACATTTTAAAAAAGCTTTATTGAGATACAATTCTCACATTATAAAATTCAACCAATTAAAGTGTACAGTGCAGTGATTTTTAGTATATTTATAGAGTTGTGCAGCCATCACCAGAGTCTAATTTTAGAACATTTTCATCATCTCCCCCTTAAAATCCTTACTCATTAGCAGTCATTTCTCATTCCTACCTTTCTCCTCCCTCAAGCTTTCCCCCCACACCCTGCCAATCCCTAGGCAACCACTAATTTACTTTTTGTCATTAAGGAAAAATCTATACTTTAGCATGTTTTCATTTTTATTTCATCTCTGATATTAGTGTCTTTGTAAATGGTACCTTAAAAATTATTCACAGGTATTTTACTTCCAGTGTGTCAAAGATTCAGAGTTTGAGTCTGTATGGCAGCTTCTACATCTAGAGCACTTATCTACACTAATCATCATCAAAATGGATATTACATGAGTTTGGACAAAAACAAAAACAAAAATTAGCATGTGATATTTAATGAAATAATTCGTTATAAAAGCCCTTGTTTTTGTAATGCTCGTTCTCACTTGTTTAAAAGTATATAATACAATTGATTGAGGCATACCAATGAGAATTTTTATATTTATGGGTTGACATTTAGTGTTTCATGGTATCTTTTTGCTAAAAGAGAGAAAGGGACTCATAGTGAACTGGATGAAGTTGGGAGAGGTAGTTACGCTGTTGCCATTCAGATGTAGAGAAGGGAAAAAAGTGTAGATTGTTAGGAGGTAGGACAAAAAGTATTCCTTTATTATAAGTGGCTATTAATTTTTTGGCATTCTCTGATGTTGGTACAATATACAGTAGCAATGAAAAGTAAATTTACACGTGAGTTTATATTGAACCAGAAGCTAAAAATTTTTTAAGTTGTAGAAAATTTTCAATTTTAAAGCAAAGCTGCTTGTATGTTTTTAACCATTATTTTGGTTGAAATCTAGTTTCTTTGAAAATTGGGTTAGTAAGACAAGCTGTACTATAAACTGAGCACTATGGGAGGTTTTTTTTTTTTGTGATTAAAACACAGAACTTTGTCATCATGAGTTATATAGGTATTGACGAAACATGGATGTTCACCTAAATGTCCAAATCTGTGTAATTCTTATGCTTTTGAAATAAAAACTTTACTTTTAATGTTAATACATGTTTATAATTAAAAGGGATATTTTTGGACATTGGGAATTAATATATCAAATGATCTATTCCCTGGGACAAAGCACCAGCTCTCATAGTTACTTACATCCTTGTCTTCCAGGTGATTTTACGACGAGATGCTGCTCTCAATAGGGATGCTCATGCTGTCAGCCACACAAGTCTACACCATCTTGACCGTTCAGCTCTTTGCATTCTTAAACCTACTGCCTGTAGAAGCAGACATTTTAGCAGTAAGTACAGTAAAATTTATTCATGTCTAGAAACATCCCTTAAAGAAAAGCTTAAAAAAGCCCTGAATGATATTTATAAGACATTGTTATAAGATATTTTTATCTAAAAACATACCCCAACACATATACACAGTTACTTGACATTGAGGTACCTTATTCATTTATTTATTTATTTTTTGAGACGGAGTTTCATTCTTGTTGCCGAGGCTGAAGTGCAATGGTGCGATCCTGGCTCACTGCAACCTCCATCTCCCAGGTTCAAGCAGTTCTCCTGCCTTAGCCTCCCGAGTAGCTGGGATTACAGGCATGTACCACCACGCCTATTTTTTTTTGTATTTTTAAGAGACAGGGTTTCACCATGTTGACCAGGCTGGTCTTGAACTCCTGACCTAAGGTGATCTGCCTGCCTTGGCCTCCCAAAGTGTTGGGATTACAGGTGTGAGCCACCACGCCCAGCGCCTTACTCATTTTTTTTTTTTTTTGCTTCATATCTACTGTAAGATCTTGTGAACAATCAGTACCTGGTAAATAATGTTGCACATGAGGATATGTGTGCACATGTGGGTGCTTTGCACACATACCTACCTGCTGTATACTTATATAGAATTTTACTGTTTTTCTTGGTACCTAGTACATCTCTTCATGACTGTAAGATCTCAGTGGTATCTCTATTGATAATAATATTTAAGAAATTCTATAAGGTGTTGATAGAAAACTTCAGCCCAAGATTAGCATTAATGAGTCAGAAGAGAAGCACAGTGGTCCTATCTTTGATGGTGGATGGAAAAGTTTTTAGAGAAGAAGCGTGCTGCTCAAAACCTTACCATAGCCTCTCTTAGCTACTGTCTTACTTTCCTCCACACTGTGGAGTCATCAGATGGTCTCCAGCTTAAGATAAGGCTTGACTAGTGAGCTTTTGACTTTATGATGGAATGAAAGTGATGTGCACATTCAGTATGCACCTCAACTTATGATAAGATTATGTTCCAACAACCCCATCATAAGTTGAAAATATAAGTAGAATTTGACTTCTGAAACATTTTTGACTTATATATTTTCAGTTTATGATGAGTTTATCCAGATGTAGCCCCATTGTAAGTTGAGGATATATATTTTCTATTTCTCTTTTTCTGTGAAGGTAGAAAAAGAACATACATGCCTGTCCTCTAGGTCTGTGCTAAGGATTTGGTTTTACTTTCTGGGTGCAACTGATTTGCTTAATGGTATCAGGTGAGAAATAAAAGGGCAAGAATTGTTGCTGACCAAAGCTTGTTGTGGTCCTCAGCTGTGCTCCTGCACTTTGCAGCAATTCTGGAAGATTCTGAGATCATTGTAGCACTTGAGAGAGCCAGGCTGGTTTCCATACTATAACTTTTGAAGGCAGAGGATGCTAGTAATCCATACGAGATTTCTCATCCCCTGTTGTCCTCTGTAGGGAACTGGTTGATTAGGTTTGTTTTTGGGAATAGTCTTGGTCTTTTTGAGGTGGAGTGGAAATAGAACCTTTGAAGACTGAGTCCATTGCTATTCAAATCTCCCTTCTCAATTGATCCCTAAAATCCTTAGAATATTCTTGGCATGACTTTTGAAATGAGTTTAGAGGATTTATGGACTGATCAGGGAATAAAGTTCTCCTTGTCTCCTTTCTCTCCTTTGATTTCTTCTATTTTGTGTCTCTCTTTTTCCCTCTCTGTTGTTTTTAATACCTTTTGCCTTCTTTCTTTCATTTATACCCAAGGTGGATTGCTATTCTGTGGTCGAGCTGCCTGATGGATTAAATGATTTTCAGTGTTGTGCTCTGGGAACTTAAGCAGCTATATGACCTTGATCAAATTACTCAGCTGCTATAAGTGCCACAGCTTCTTTATTTCTTTATGTAAACTAGAGTGTTGTGGTGGTGATTAAATAAGATAAACTGCTTAGAATAGTATCTGACACATGGTAAATGTTTTATATATGGTTTAAATCTTCATTATAATTATCATTCTGATTATATTTCACTCAGCCCCTTGAGAAGATATGAAACTACCTGAGCTGTATTTTTTAATGTAGAGAAACAAAAAAAATGTTAGGTATAGAAGAATAGTCAGTCCTTTTTGCTAGCAGGGTTCCCTGTGCTTTACACAGGTACTTGTGGAATGTATGTTGATGTCCTCTAGTGAAGGACCTGTAAGATGGGAGCTGTTTAAATCTGGTCTCTATGCTGACCATAAGGATAGAAGGCTGACACGAATGCAAAGATGGCTGGAGGGGAGCGGCTTGTGAAGGCATGTAACTGGTGAAACAGGGAACTAAAAATTGAGGCAGAGGAACTGGATATGTGACAGTCATTCAAAGGAAGTGAGTTAAGAGGTAGAAAGAACGCTTCCTTTTAATGCAATAAGAGCATCCCTGAAATCTGAGTTTGCAGTAATACAGATATAAATAAATTAGACATCTAGTTCCAATCAACTAGGTTGATTCTAGTTCTATTTGCACAGGGCTTGGGATGCTGCTTTTGAAAAGTTAAGTCCGTTTTAGTTATGCTATTTGTAATGCCAGATGCCTTTGGTTTTGGGTTTTTTTTTTTTTTTTTTTTCAGTTGAATTTTCCCATGTGACTTTGAATTCACAGACAACAGTGTTTGTCCAACTAGTTGAGTTGTAACAGGCTATGGAGATGCTGCTATAGCATGACTAGATGACTAGTCAGACAGACCTCTAGGCCATGAGTACTTGGAAGGCAGGACTGTGTCTTACTAAACTTTATTCCTGGTGCCTGGTGTTGGTTACACAGTAGGAATTCAATACAGGTTTGAAGTAATTAAAAGCTTTCTCAGAGATTTTTTACATCACATTTTCTTTTAATGGCATCTGTTCCTTAGTACTTTTAGATTACTGTTTTTATCTCTTATCATTTTTCTTTTACTCAGAAACGTAATACTATTAATTATGTAGGTTTATACTAGAAACATGAAATTTTAGAATTGCACTTAAGAGATAACTACATCAGTGCTGTATATTCTAGACTCATAGTCCACAAGTGACATGCTAGTTTTGAATTGTGCCCAAGATCTTACTGAGAAGTATTATCCATCTTATATGAGAGTCAAACAACCCATGTTGCTTGATGCCCAATCTGCCTTTTGATTCTTTTGTCTGGATTTGTCAGAGAGTATTGGTTGCTGGGTGGTGATTATGAGGGCCAGTGTGCTGTGTAGCAAAGAAACACCCAATGGGTGGTGGTGTGAATGGATTGGATTATATAGCACCGTAGTCCAGAGCTCCAGAAACGGATTTATAATCAGAGTTGAAATCCAGATCTACCACTCTGTATTTGCATGACCTTGGGCAGATTACTTAGCATTTCTTAAGTCATGGTTAACTTTTTGTAAAAGTGAGAGTTTGTGAAGGACAGTATAGAGTAGTAGGTTAAGGGCTGGGATCTGGGGCCAGACTGCCTCAGTTAGAATCCTGGTTCTTCTAATTTACCAGAGCTTATTTTCAACACGCTGTTGTCAATCTGTAAAATGAGGATGATAGTAATAGTGGCCTACTTTGTAGAGTTGTTGTTAGGATTAAATAAATTATTACCTGTAAAGTGCTTAGCATGATGTCGGTACATAATGAATGCTAATAATTGTTAGATATTTATTACTTTCTAAATTAAATTAAACCTTTTGTTAAGGAAGCTGTCAAGAAAAATAATTGGTTAAGGAAAAGACCTTTTCAAAATAAGTGTACTCAAACTGTTACGTGGTAATCACTAAGAATGGGATTCTCGTGAGGAGTAACTATTTTCTACTTCAGATTTTTTTTTTTTTTTTGAGATGGAGTCTTGCTGTGTTGCCCAAGCTGGAGTGCAGTGGTGCAATCTCGGCTCCCTGCAACCTCTGTCTCCTGGGTTCAAGCGATTCTCCTGCCTCAGCCTTGCAAGTAACTGGAATTACAGGCATTTGCCATCGGGCCTGGCTAATTTTTGTATTTTTAGTAGAGATGGGGTTTCAACATGTTGGCCTGGCTGGTCTTGAACTCCTGACCTCAGTTGATCTGCCCACCTCAGCCTCCCAAAGTGCTAGGATTACAGGCATGAGCCACTGCACCCAGCCTACTACTTCAGATTTTTAAACAGTGAACATGCTTTAATTTTATGAGCATTACTCCCCTCCCTCCTTATACCAAAAACGGAAAGTACCTTTGTTAGTCTTGTTCACTGTAGGAACATTTTTTGTTTTAAACAATATAATTTTAAGAGGCCATATGAGACAATCCTTATTTTGCTGTTAAGGAAAGACAAAACAGTTTCAAAAAGGGTTTCACTCAGTAACAAAACTTAATCCACATCTCAGTGTTACAAGTACTGTAGTTCAAGCTAGGTATTTTATTTCTATAATTTTAGCCGTAATAGTGAAACTCTTAAGTAATAGGAAGAGATAAAAAATACTTTAGTATATAGTTTGTAGATTCTTGATTTCCTAATTTCAAAAGTACATTAAAAAATACTGCTTACACACATTTGTATTTGTCCTTGGTCTATTTCCATTGATCTAGATAAGTTACTTTATTTTACAATGGCATACTTGGCTAGGAGGAATTAAATGTTTTTCTCAGGTTCAACATTAACCTGATCATAGGTGAATTAAATCAATTAAACATGTTTTAATTAAGAGATTAAATGATAGATTGTGATAATGGGTTTAAAAGCATTTTGTAACTCTAAAGTATTTTGTAAACTATGGAGTACTCTGCAAATATGAATTATTGTTGCAATGGGAAATCACGCTGAAGCAATTACCACATATGCTTGGTGGCCTCCAAGTACACTACTAGAATGATTATCCCAGCAATAACAGAATGAATAGGTTTAGTGACTGCATTTAGATGCTTGAATCACACAGTTTCCTGCGCTAATTACAAGCATACAGTGAGAGGCAAAGGTACAAGATAGACATGCTAAGACACTCAAGATAGGGTTCCAGTGGGATGCAAAAACCACACTACCTGAATCCTGGGTCACCTGTTGTAGTTTGTCCAGTCTTCCTGTGTGCTGCATCAACTTTTCCTGCTGACAGTGTGGTACGGTTACCAGGACCTGAGTTGATGGTGAGCCAAGGGGACTTGACAGATGGAAGGTGTCTAGATCCAACATTTGCTTGCTCTGCCGGAGAGATGCAAGGCAACTGGTCACAGCTATAATTGGCTGTTAAACTGTGGAGTTGCTTATCTGCATGCCTCTGGCAGACGACATAAGAGGCTAGGATAGCGTTAACCAATGGGTGTTTGATTCAGGGATAACGTAGCTATCAGTCTGGATGTGTGACCTAATCCATACTTTGTGAATACTTAAAGTTTACTTGATCCTTCCATCTTTTCTTATCTATATATAACACTCCTGCTTTCTTCCTTTTTATCTATCTTCAAACCATCCTTTGTATCTATATGCAAAACAAATGTGTTCTTTTTTTTTGTATTTATGTCCTACAGGTTATGAACACCTACCTTAATTTCTAGTACGTAATTTTCACTTGTGTTTCAAAAGTTACTTGTTTACTATCTATGCTGAGTTTCATCCATATCCCTTGTTTATCTTGCTCTCTGTATAGCAAATTGAACATTATTAAATGATGAAGCAAACTCATCTCACAACTATTATCATTACTGTTCTCTTCTAAAAGCACAAAGAACTTTTGTTTTTTTTCAGTAAAGGACTAATAAATATTGTAGCATTGGAATCTATATCTGTGTGGAAGGGGGAAAGTTGTTGAAGAGTTTGAATACCTCCAGCTTTTTCCATATATGCATTTCATTGAATTTGGTCTCTTCAGTGTTCAACCCTGGATAAAAATGTTCAGCTTATACAAAATTGATATGCCTTAAAAATATGATATGATGCTACTTCTTTCCAAAAAGAAAGTCATTTTTCATAGCTAGAGCCAGAAATGCCGTAAAGTTCTTCCAGTAAATCAGACCTTTATAATATAGAGAAAATAAAATGGAATACTCCTCCTGGAAGATGATTTATCTGGAAAATTCCTTGCTAGGAAATTGTCTATGGGAACAACTCAGAAAACAGTAGGCTGAATTAGTGTTGCTGCTCAATAATAACATTTGAAATCAGAATCCAATTTAAGCATTTGTATATGTTGTAAATTGTATATATTCCTTCTATTTTAGTGGATGTACATTTACAAATTCAGTTTTATTTTGATAAGCTGTGATAGTAATCAGAATTGTCAAAATAATTATATATAATTTAATAAATCTTTGTTTTTAATGTTATGTATAAATTAGTCTTAACTTGAATATTTATAACATTTTATTTTTAGTATAACTTTGAAAATGCATCTCAGACATTTGATGACCTCCCTGCAAGATTTGGTTATAGACTTCCAGCTGAAGGTTTAAAGGTAAGACAGTTGGTAATATATTGTAAAGACACAAGGTATTTAATAAGGTGATTTTTATCATTTATTATTTAAACAATGAAATAATTTCTTACTATTATTTTAAAACCTATACATAGTCATTTGTAAAGGATCAGATTATTCAAAAGGTATCAGAAAGAAAGTGAAAATCACCTAGGATTGTATTATTCTGAACTAGCTGTGGTTGACATTTTGGTATATTACATTTCAGACCTGTTTTTTTAGGATACGTGCTATGCGTGTGTTTGTAGATGTGTGTGTGTGTACATATATATACACACACACATTTACATATATGTGTAAATGCTTTCATATACAGTGAATCTATATTTAACACTAATAGAAACATGCTATTTGGTTACCTACCTTTTTCTTTTAACTGTATGTTATGATCATGTTTTTCATGCTGATATGTAAGGATTTACATTATTAATTGTAACGGCTGCATAGTTTTGCAATATCATGAAATAGTATGGATTTTGAACATTGCTTTAGTTTTTCGTAGTGGATATTTAGGTTGTCTAGTTTTTACTATTACAGTGCTACAATGAATGTTTTTCTTTGTGTATTCATCCATTTATCTCCATAGGATACATTTCCAAATGTAGAATTGCTTTATGACATGAATATTTAAAATTTTGTTCTATATTTTCAGTTCTTCCTCCAAAAAGTTTAGAACAATTTAGAATTCCATCAGTAACGTCTGAGACTGTCCTTTTCCCCATACCCTCTTAAATACTAGATATTATCGAACTTTTGCTAATTTGATTTTAAAAAATCTAGTGAACGTAAACATATTTTTTGCTGCGTGTGTGTGTGTGTGTGTGAGAGAGAGAGAGAGAGAGACAGACAGAGAGAGAGAGAGAGAGAGAGAGAAAATGGACTATTAATGCTTTTGCCCAATCTGAGAGAGAGAGAGAGAATGGACTATTAATGCTCTTTGCCCAATTTGAAATTAAAGTGTCCTTGTGCTTTGTAAGAGTTCTTTATATGTTGGAAGTATCAATTTATTGTTTGCCATGTATGCTTCAGATTATCCCTTCCTCAGTTTTTCCTTTATCTTTTAATTTTTTTTAAGGTTTCAAAAGTTTTGTTTAGTTAAAAATTATCGTCTTTTTCCTCTACCTCTGGTGGTTAGAAAGTCCTTTCTCATTTCAAGATATTAGTTTTTTGTTATATAAATACATGAAGTTGTATAGATATGTACCATAGAATGCTTTCAGTTTATTCTGATTTTCTTAAAATTCCTTTTTTTTTTTTTTTTTTAAGGTAGGTTTTCACACTGTTGTCCAGGCTGGAGTGCAGTAGCACAATCTTGGCTCACTGCAATGTTCACCTTCTGAGCTCAAATGATCCTCCCATCTCAACCTCCCAAGTGGCTGAGACTAAGTGTGCAGCACCATGCCCGGCAGGTTTTTGTTTTTTTTTGTAGAGATGGGGTTTTTCCATGTTGCCCAGTCTGGTCTTGAACTCTTGAAGCTATCTGCCCACTTCAGCCTCCCAAAGTACTGGGATTTCAGGCATGAGCCACCGTGCCTAGCCAGAATTTCTTAGTAAGATACCATAAACCTATTATTTTTTATTTTTTATTTTTTTTTTTGAGACGGAGTGTCGCTCTGTCACCCAGGCTGGAGTGCAGTGGCCGGATCTCAGCTCACTGCAAGCTCCACCTCTCGGGTTCACACCATTCTCCTGCCTCAGCCTCCCGAGTAGCTGGGACTACAGGCGCCCACCACCACGCCCGGCTAATTTTTTTGTATTTTTTGGTAGAGACGGGGAAACCTGTTATTCTTAATTAGGATGGTAGGCACCTCTGGGAGGGATGTTCAGCTTTTAAATTATTTTAAAAAATTCATAGCATTTTATGACTATTTCTCATAAAAATATTTCAACCAAAAAGAAATACACATAAGGAAAAGTAAACACCTTCTTTTATTCTTTCCTTACCTATATGTAGCAGTCACACTTCCCTCTTCAGGGTTAAATATTATCAGTGATTTTACGGGCCTTCAGATCCTTTTCTGAACATGTAATGCTTTTTCGTTCTTTTTTGTTCATCAGTTTATGGACACATATACTTCATAAATGGTTATCATTTGTATACATGAAAAGTTTCTTAATTCTTACAATGAAATCTGCTCTGGCTAGTTTTACCCAGAAAGGGGTTTATAAAGAGATAAAGATATTCAGAGTATCATTTTAGCCTGGACAGGCAGTTTCTAAACTGTTTCAGGAATAAAACGCAGAACGACCTTGTAGGACTGGTTTTGTAGATGAGTGGTGCAACTAATGAACCCTCAAACCACATTGTTTTTTCTCTCATCAGGACGCCTTTGTGGTTTTACCTCACAACATTCAGCCTCTTCTACCACCCAAGCTAATCAAAGAGATACCCTTTTTCAGACTGTTTCCTTACGTGTCTGCTTCCAAATCCAACACTTGGATTTTTCTGATTGATAGACTTTTGGCCACATAGTTACTTGCTACATATTTTGGTGAAATACCTAGCTATGAGGAAGGCTGGGAAACACAGTATAGGTTGTTGTTGTTGTTGTTGTTGTTATTTTTGTTGTTTTAGCCTACTTTGGGAAGGTGGAATGCATAGTGGCTTCAGAAAATGTGGAGCATCACGATTGACAGATGTCTACTGCAGTAATTACCCTGCAAGGCTGGGCTGGCTGCAGTGGCTCACACCTGCAGTCCCAGCACTTTGGGAGGCCAAGGTGGGTAGATCACTTGAGGTCAAGAAACCAGCCTGAGCAACATGGTGAAACCCTGTCTCTACCAAAAAGTAGCTGGGCATGGTGGGCGCAAGTCTGTGGTCCCAACTACTTGGAGGCTGAGGTGGGAGAATCACTTGAACCCAGGAAGGTGAGGTTGCAGTGAGCTGAGATCGTGCCATTGCACTCCAGCCTGGGCGACAGAGTAAGACCTTGTCTCAAAAAAATGACAATAAATAAATAATTACTCTGCAGTGTGATTCCCCTACCTCTTCTGTTTTAGAGCTCTTTCCACAGCGGCATCTATAACTCTAGTATGTTCCTGTTAAGCACTGCATGGTATTCTGTAATGTGAATGATCATAGTTTATTAGTAATTTCCTCTTTCCAAAGTTGTTATTTCTCTAGGATAGAGGTCTGGAAGTAGAATTGATGAAATCAATGGGTACATACATCTGAAAGTTTCATAGATACTGCCAAATTATCTTTGCAAAGGCTGTGCTAATTTATTCCCATTAACATTGTAGGAGAATACGTATCTCTCTATAGTCTTGCCAACACTAGATATTATCAGTCTTTTTAACTCTTGCCAATCTGATGGGCAAAAGTGTTATCTTGTTTTAATTTGCATTTCTCTGATTGTTAATGATGATCTGGCAACCTTTCTTTCATTCTACCATAAGGAGTCAGACTGTTCCTTCTCACCGAAGAGCCTTTCTGCTGAATAAGCTTATTTTAAAGAGCTCTCTTAATTCTTGATAAGCATAATCTTATTGGTGCTCCTCAATAAGTTACTATAAATTTGGTTTACATTTAAAAGATATGTTGACAAATTTGCTTATTCACTGCCTGGCCAAAAAAAAAAAAAAAATGGTGTTAGATATTTGTCTGCTTTTTGCACTGTGACATAGGCAAGAAGAGAAGTGAAATATTCCAACAAAATTATTGGATTATTATGGGTAGCTTTTATAGTTGCATGACTGGTTTTGCCATTGCCCAGAATCAGAATTCAAAATGCCAGCCATGCAAAGATTTACATTTGTTTACAAAGACTTGATAATAATGAAGTGAGGTAGCTCACTATAGTGTAATATCTGTAAAACCAATTAATTAAATACATTAAAAATACAACTAAGTTAATTTAAAAATATATTAAGAGACTTAGCTGAAAAATACTTTTTTTTTTTTTTTTTGAGACAGAGTCTTGCTCTGTTGCCCAGGCTGGAGTGCAGTGGCATGATCATAGCTCACTGAAACCACCAACTGCTGGGCTCAAGCAATCCTCCCACCTCAGGCTCCTGTGTAGCTAGGACTATAGTAGTGTGCCACTGTGCTAATTTTAAAATATTTTTAGAAATGGAATCTTGCTATGTTTCCCAGGCTGGTTGCGAACCCCTGGCTTCAAGCAATCCTCCTGCTTCGGCCTCCTAAAGTGATGGGATTATAGGCATGAGCTACTGCACCTGGCCAAAATATCTTACTTTTTTTTTTTGAGACAGAGTCTCGCTCTGTCGCCCAGGCTGGAGTGCAGTGGTGCGATCTTGGCTCACTGTAAGCTCCAGCCTCCTGGGTTCACGCCATTCTCCTGCCTCAGCCTCCCGAGTAGCTGGGACTACAGGCGCCTGCCACCACGCCCGGCTAATTTTTTTGTATTTTTAGTAGAGGTGGAGTTTCACCGTGTTAGCCAGGATGGTCTCAATCTCCTGACTTCATGATCCACCTGCCTTGGCCTCCCAAAGTGCTGGGATTACAGGCATGAGCCACCGTGCCCGGCCCAAAGTATCTTACTTTTAAACTCTGCCCGGAGAGTTTAGGTGAGATAGTTTTTGTAGGTCTAATTTATGTTCTGTGTTTTGTAGCTTTTATAACATCCCTGGATTCCATCAGAATCATTTATAAGACATCAGATATTTATAGTATAACATATCAGTTGAAATTCTGTGTTTGCATTCTGTTTATATATGCCCCAATATTAAGTTAATTGTATTTAAAGCCTTTTTCTGTCCTCTCCTGTATTTTAAAAAATACTATTCAGGTATAAGAAAATGACAAAGCCAAGGAATTTTGAGCTATTTGAGCTTTAATGCAAAAATGTGAATCTTTGCATGGATTAAAATATGGCACATCAGTGTTACAGAAGTTTTAAAAGAAAGATTTTATTTTTTTATCTAGGTAAGTGCTGTGTTTGTAGTTTTATATTTTAATTGACTGTTTAGGAAGTTACCTTTTCCATACAACCTTTTTAGACCTTGTAACCTTGAGT